TTGGGCAAGACACTTCACCCGTTGCTTACTGGTGGTGGTCAGAGGGCCCGGTGGCGCCAGTGTCCGGCAGCCTCTCCTCTGTCAGTGCGCCCCAGGGCAGCTGTGGCTACAATGTAGCTTGCCATCACCAGTGTGTGAGTGGGTGAATGACTGAATGTGTAAAGCGCTTTGGGGTCCTTAGGGACTAGTAAAGCGCTATACAAATACAGGCCATTTACCATTTTTTTATTGCTTTTGGCCATTTTAATAATAAGACCTGCCAAAACCAATGCTCCAGACTAGGGCTGGTCCATATTATACCGTTCACGGTAATACCGGTATAATGTTAGGCAACGATAGGAAAATGAAATATCGCGATAGAATATGAGTAAAACGCGCATGCGCAGTGCCTTTGTTTTCATACGCACATGGCCGATTGTTGAGTGAAACAGATGAACCAGAATTGGTTTGTAAAAATGGTTTAACTTCAGTGATGTGGAACTGGTTTGGTGTTTGTCCGTCAGATACAAGACAAAGCACATTTTTTGCAGAACATGCAAGCGGCTGTCCTTATTGTCGTATTTGTCGGACTAAGATGCTCTTAAATCTGGGAGTAATCTGGGTCCTAAACCCCGTATTTCTCAGGTCAAACAACACTGCAGCATCACTGAGAGTTAAAAACTGTCTAAATTCTTTCATCTTTAATAAAACGATCAGCATTGCTGCTTTACCAGGTGTAACTATAAAGTTTAACTTCCAGGCATCCATGAAAACAAAATTTATTACATTTAACGGAGTTAGAAGTTAGCAGGAAGCTAGCGGAAGTTAGCACGCTAGTTTCGCTAGTTACCTAAGCATGATATTGCATGTTCTGACTGAGAGATTTCTGGAAAAAATCAAACGTACAGCTCTGCTATCACTTCCAACTAGGGTTGCCAACTCCCTGAAAAATAAATAAGGGACACCTCGTGGCCAGGGCCGGGCAACCCAGTTGTCTTCACCCTTCCCAGTGTGGTGAATTTTCTAGCTCTTTTTTTGTGTGTGAAATTATTTTTTTTAACCATTTGACTTGAAGTTGATTTAAGTACATGCATATTCTATTCTTTGTGATATGAACACATGGGAAACAAATGATCATTTAGCCATTTATTTTTAGCTCAAAATGACAACATTAACACAGTAAAACAGGTCTCTTTCTTAAACAGAAGCCTGTCATGCTTAACTTTTGAGAATAAAAGTAAATCTTTCTTTAAAAGCACTCTGTCCTGCTTAACTTAAAATAATAGAAAACAATAGAAAGAAAAATATTCTTGTAACTGTGCACATTTAGTGCATTTAGTACAATTGGCTTCAGTTGAGGTATTATTTCAGCTTTTCTAAAGCTAATCAGCTGCTCCTGTTTGTAAACCCACTTATTCCCATGATTACGCATCATAACTCATCATCATTATTCATCTATGTATTACTTTTATGTATTAGTCATCAATTTGTTGTAATCATCTATCCTTACAGATGTTTATTACACAAAATAAGTTATATTATCACACTTCTGGCCACATAGCGCTGATATTCACTGCACATGCCCATATTAACTTTTTCCAGCCAGGTGTTTTCCTTTTCCCATTCTTCCCTTTGTCTGAGGGGAACAAACATTGCTGCTCTAATGCTGGGCTCACACTGTGTGATTTTTGGCCCATTTTGAGACGATTTATGAGTGATCGGACCGATTTGGCGATCGGCCCGATTTTGGCCTTCATCGTGCGTCGTGTAGTATACGTGGGGTAACGAGAAGTGATTAACACCTCACGACCAGCTCCCGATCATCAATCGCTCGTGAGGGTGTCACCACAGCCGCTCACACTGCTCATGCGCAAACACGTAAACGTCGGTGAAAAAGACGGCGCAGCACGGCTGTGCAGCGTGTGATCTGGACACAAGCGATGGAGGCACAACTTGTAGAACTTTGGAAAGCTCATCCGAGCCTTTTCGATGTGGCCTCACAAAATTATCATGACCACAACAACCGTGAAAATAGTTGGATTTACACTGCTGCTCATTCACAGCTGCCTGATCATGTTTTTCATTAGCAATTTAGCAAAGTTGATGGTGGTGGTGTGTCTGTGTGAGTGAAAGACAGAGAGAGCGAGCGACAGATTTTCTGTTATAACCTTCATGTTATGGAGGCACAGTGTGAGCACTCAGGTCAGGCATCAGAGCATCGGGCGGTATAGTGTGAGACCTGCATCATGACCTACGAACTTCTAACCCCTGCGAGTCAATCGTGCAGTTTGAGCAGGAGCTGAATAACGTGACTGAAAAAATCGCAGTGTCTGCCCAGCTTTAGGTGTACTGTCGTCCGAGACTTGCACCGCAGTGTCGGCGTTTGTTTCCCTGTTGGCCATGCTTCTTGTTGTGGTCATCTGTTGTCTTCCGGTATTTTCTCCGCAAGCGACCTTTCCTCGACCAATGAGATGAGCAGTAATCTGAATTGTCATACTCGAATTGTCATAAGTGTGCTGTCAACTCATTGGTCACAAAGCAGGAGAGGGGCTGGGAATTATGTTTTCAAACAAAGCGTTAATTCCATTAAAAGTTATAGACTACTTTTGATTCTCACTGTATTACGGGACAAAGTGCGTCCCTTATTAGCTCAATATGGGACGTGTACTTTTGTTTCGAAATACGGGACGATTCCGTATTTTAAGGGACGGTTGGCAACCCTACTTCCAACATAAATGAAGACAGGAAACTAAACAGCAGTGACGTTTGTAGGGTTACTGAAGTTGGGCTAGCTGGTATATAATGATGTGCTACGTGATCGCTAGCGACACAGCTATGTTAGCATAACATAAACAGTGAAGCTGGAGGACGAACACTAACACTTTTCCACTTATAAAAGTTAACGTTAAGGTTCCTGATAGTTGGAGACAAATTCAGTCGCATGGCAGGATGCTGTAAACGGACCAAACTTCAGTCAGGAGAACAACTGAGATAATCCATCCACAATACAAGGTTAGTCATTAATATACTGCAACAACATGGGAATAGAGCAGCTGCCAGAGAATTCAACATTAATGAATCAATGGTACAGAAGTGGAGGAAGCAAGAATGAGTTGAATAAAGTTTGATTTATCTGACTGCTTTGTTTCGCTTAATGTGCCTTATAATCCCGTGCACCTTATGGTCCGAAAAATACGTACTGCACACTGCAGTTTAATGTTGCAAAGCACCTCTTTTTAACTTCAGTGGATATTATACATGGTTATGCTCAGTATATGTCAGCCCATTTCTACTGGAAATGCCTTTTGGTTAAACTTTCAGCAAGGAATTTGCATTTGCACTGTTACATTTTTATAAAGCTTTAATGTACATAAAAACCAGCTTCTTGTTTAAGTGAAAATAAATGGAAGGTTGTCTTTTTGCACTAGTAATGTTGTGGAGTTGTATTTTGTCTCGCATCAATTATATCATCAGTTATATCGTTATCGCAAATTTTCAAATATATATCGTGATAAATATTTTTGGCCATATCGCCCTGCTCTACTCAGGCACTCAACTAACTATATTTATAGTGGAACAGAGGATATTCATTTCTTTTACAAAGACATTTCCAAACTACATGATAGGTTCTCTTACAGAAGATCTGACTTAAAAAATCTCAAACTCTTAAAACAGTAAATTTCACAACCAAAGTGCTGCCTTTTGGGCTCAGTGGCACTTACATTTTGCAATCGTGCCACAGTGCTCAAACACCAACCCACACCAGGTAAACTGATCTGACACTGCAGTCACCTAATTCATTCACAAACAAGCTTTTTTCTTCCTTTTTCTTTTTTAAAAGTTCATCATGAAAAGTGCAGGATGATAACAATCGCAGTTATGAATGTGCCATTACTGCACGCCAGTGTGCACATCGTTACGGTTATTTCTCATTCGCTGCCTCTCAGCCACGTTCAATGAGATGAACATACAGTGAACAACCTCAGTTATTCACTCTCATTATCACACTGCTGATTGGAGCCTATAATTAAAGACACAACTCTTTCCCAGCACTAGCTCAGGTCTGAACAGGCTGCAGTCATGCTCCGAGAGTCTAGTCTATTAAGAGTGGTGCTGTTTTGTTTATTTTGCAGTTCCTATAACCTGAATCTAAACCAAAAACGGGGAAAACATTTTTTACATTTCACAGAGGTGTCACCTTTCGAATGAATACAAAAAGAAAGTCACGACACTTTTGCCGAGGTTCTTCTCGCTCTCGTGCCCATGTGAAGTTTCACCTCTTCTTTCACATGGGCTGGGCAACTCTGCGCTGCAACAGAGACCGAGGCATCATTAGTGGCCCATGCTTCCTCCTGCATGGCTCTCCATGTGAAACACAACATTACTCATCCACCCCCAGGCACCTGAGAACTGCACAGCACCAATCAAGTTGCTGCACAGTGATTCACAGTGTGAGGAGGAGACTTGCATAACAGTCAGCTCCATATTCTGTTTTCTTCCAGCCATTCTTACAAAAATAAATAATTAAATAAATGCACAAAATCCATTTATTTGTGCAGCAGTTCAGGGTTCAGAGCGTTCAGAGAGCCCAATGAATCAGTTCGTGTCCACAAATTCTTCACACACAATGCCTTGACCCATTTCATTAGACAGGAGTGTATGTGCTCTGTAAACATTGCGTGGTATAGATGTGGGTTCATTAAGAATATAGAGAAGCGGAAGCTAAAAAAATAAATAAAAAACCCAAATATTAAGGTGATCATGCTAAGAGCATGCCATACACACGAAGATGACTGATGGAGAAACAACAGCTGGAAAAGGAGGTCACTTTGTTTTTATAAATTCTTGCAGTCGTGTCCCGATGCACTGCAGCAGCACCGACTCTCCTCCAGCTGACACGGGAAAGCAGACGGTGGATGACTGCACACAAACACGCTCACGCAGCCCTCTCTATTAACTTCAGTGAGCCGCAGCTTTCCCATCACCACCACCTACTTATCGCCGCTATATGCAAACCCTACCTTCGGAGAGCTCCAGATCCAACTCCGCCAGCTGGTCCCTGACCTCTTTAGGCAGAGCCGACAGATCAACGCCGCGGTCGGCCATCGTTGGAAGCACAGCAGCCTGCGGGATGTTTGTGAAATCTCAAATGACAGCAGGTAAGATCCACCATGAAGCTCAGAGGAAGAGGTGGGGGGGATTTTAAAAAATCAAGATGTAGTAGTCGTGTTGTTTACTCCATCTCCGCGACTCCCCGACACCGCCATGACTGTGGGAGATGGGAACAACTCGCCAGAGGAGTCCGTCAGTCACATGACCAGGCTTGACGGTAATTGCCGTGACAGGATGGTGGGATGAAAAACAGACTCTCTGCTCCCTCTGCTGTTGTGTTTTTACAGCTGGGAGAAAAAAGAAAAGAAAACACAGCATTCCTGTCGCCTCAGCTCACCTGCCACCTTCCCCTCAGGTGGGTGCTAGCTCGAGTTTGTACAGGTATTTTCATGCACTAATGGTGGAAGTGGCGCCAGGTTTTATTGGAGATATTTTGTGTGATGTTTCAAGGAAATATATAATCCCCCGTGGATTGGGGGGGCGTATTTTCCTAATAAAAAATAGATAAATAAAAACAAAATATCTGAATAAAAAAAATGTAATGTTCACTTGCACACTTAACAAATTGAACAAAATTTTCAGGCTGCATCACTTTTTATTTATTTTCCACCTATTCCAAACAAAGATGGCACCGGAAATCACATGTACGCACTCATTTTAAACACGCTCGCCGGTCAACTCCGTAGTCACACCTTTCTAGTACCAGGTTGGTCGGTCTTTTGCCTCCAGAACTGCTGATTCAACAAGGTGCGTCACATTCCCAAATGCGCTCTGCTCCATTGACATCTGGTGACTGTGGAGGCCATTGAGTACAGTGGCAAGCTCAAGAAACCAGTTTCAGATCGTTGTGACATTTCACACTGTCTTGCTGGAAGACAGTGGCATAAAGAGATGGGCATAGACAGAAAGAGTGGAGTTTAAACAGTGCTCAGTTGGTTCTAATGGGCCCAAAGTCTGCCAAGAAAATATACTCCATGCCATTTACACCAGCAGCAGCAGCCTGAACTGTTGATACAAGGCAGGATGGAGCCATGTTTTCTTGCTGTTTCCACAAAATGAAAAAATGAGTCTCATCAGACCTAAGAGCCAATCTTCTATTATCCAGTTTTGGTGAGCCTCAGTTTCTTGTTCTTTACTGGCAGGAATGGAACCCGCTGTGGTCTCTGCTGCTGTAGCTCATCTGCTTTAAGATTTGTCGTGTTGTGCATTCAGACATGCTCTTCTGCATACTTCGTTTGTAACAAGTATTTACTTGAGTTATCCTTGCTGTCAGTTCAAAGCAGTCTGGTGATTCTCTTCTTACATCCAGAGAATTACTGGATGCTTTCACTTTTTCAGACCAGTCTCTGTAAAACTTTAATAGACTGGTTCTTATATGGCGTCACTTTATACAACTTACCTTATTCACTCATTCATACAAGCACTTTTTATCCAACATTCACACTCCAATGGATGCATCAGAGCGCAACATGAGGTTAGTATCTTGCCCAAGGATATCTGGCATACAGACTGGAGGAGCCAGGGATTGAACCACCAACTTTCCGTTTAGTAGTCGCCTCCTGAGCTAAAGCCAACCCAAACTTAGAGCACCTGGTATGCTAAGGCGGTCTGCCATCAAAGTACTAACCAGGCCAGACCTGCTTACCTGCTTAGTTTTTGAGATCAGACAAGTTTGGGTGTGCTCAAGGTGGCATGGAAATAACCATCTCTAGGCTGGTGTGCTTGTGTGAAAAATCCTACTAGATAACCAGTTTCTGAATTACTCAGACCACCCCCACCTGACACAACAACTCTGCCATGTTCAAAGTCCCTTTAAATCTAATGATCAGTTTGAACTTCAGGGGTTCGTCTTAACCATGTCAAGCCCTGGTGAGATCTGTGTGCAACTATTTTATTTGAGTAAATACTGTTAATTTGTATAATTATAATAATATTTATATAACAAACAGAATTTGTGTTTCTATGCATCTACGTTGTTGCCCTTTTGGCCAGGTTAACAAACCTATTTTGACAGCAGTAAAGGCAACACTATGTTTAGAGTTATGTTTCAATCAGTGGTCTAGATCCTGCATTTAACACCCTTTAACTTGTTTTTGGTTTTCCACCAACCAAAAAAAAAAAAAGTGGAAATTTTTATGCCATTGTTTCATCAGCTGCACCCAAAAAGATGCGATAAGTTTAATGAAAAACGACTTGCAGGCTTAAAAGCAGCTTACTTTTAACCCCAACATACTATTACTGAAGCACAATTCAGGTTCGTTAATTTATTTTTATTATTTGCTCAAGACAACTTATTCATTAGTTGAGACTGTACACAAATAATGTATCCCATCTTGAGGCCTGAGTAAACTCCTTCCAAGACATTTTCCCATGTGGATTCACTGTCGCTAAACACTTAAAAACTGTCCTCTTTACAAATTAAGGGGAAGTACTATTACATGAATTGGGGGGTGGGGGTCTAACATACCCACAGAGCAAAAATAAACATCTTAAAATAAAGACATGTTATAAAAGAGCAACAGGGAGGGGGGCAATATGATAGTCTTGGAAGTACAATGCCATATAAAATAAGCTGCATTTTAAAACTTGCAATTAAAAAGAAGCACCGTGCACAAGTATTGAGTCTACTTCATTATACAAGACGGCTCGTCAAAAGGTGGAAAGCACACAAGACCAGGACACCTGTAACTCTCTAAAAATGCACACTAATCACAAATCTCATTCACTCAAGAATACTTATCTTCACATTTGCTTTGGTCACCTCATAACTTTAGCTTTTAAAACTCGACCAAACACCCACCACCCCCTCAGCAGCTGGGCTACACATGTCATCTAAATGCAAGAACATCGATATTCAATAGAAAAATATATTGCACTAGTCTTTCCTCAACTGAAATGCATGGGTACTGGAGTTTAAAAATCTACGTATGATTATCATTTAAAGGCCGTCTGAAGGATCAAACTTTTCAAGTGTGTTACATTAGGACCGAGGATGGAATCCTTACAATGATTTTTGCATTGATAACAATGTTAGAGAACCAAAAAATAATATGAAAACAGTGAATAGGATGAATCACAAACAGTGGTAATCTTCACCCTTAAATACTCCATGCAGTCAATAGGGTTTCATACACAGGACTAACATGTCATCCATTCTGAATGGGTTAAAATACATGATTTAAAAAAAAAAAAGTGTCAGGCACACAATCACAGGGTAAACAGTGAACACCATCTACAATTTGGTTTGCTAAGAACTCAGCTGACTAAAGCGACAAGTGTATTAACTCAAAACTGAAAGAACAGGTTGAAAACAAAACAATATAAACACTTTCCAGGCTACTGCTCACTGCATTCAGCTCTCCTCAGACTTTCACTGCATTAGCAAAACATTATCTGACTAACATATCCGGCATAAAAAATCTTTTCTTACACATGAAAAATACAAGATATTTTACAGAAAAAGTGTCAGCCTGGGAAGGACAAATAAAAAGAAAAAAAAAGAACTCATCACAACCAGTGTGTAGGAAGAAGGTGGACTACAGTGGCTTTGTGAAAGGAAGTTACAAAAAAACGATGTTTCTGATTCAGATTTTTCTTCTCGAGCCTTTAAACCTTTCCCAAGTGTCAGAACTGAACAAGAACTTACCCCAAACCCTGCAGAGTGAGTGTCTGACATGTAATTCATATTTACATAGAGAGAGTGACGAAGCTTCAATGAAAAAGGGAGCCTGCTTGGAGTGGAGGGCTGATGGAGGCACTGTGCCGCGTCTTTGTGTGATTATCGGCGACTGCGAGGGAATTGGGTGGGTGTGGAAGTGGATCTTAGTTTTGGGGTGTGGGTTGGAAGGGGAGAGGGATTTGAGGGCAGGTTCCTCTTTTCAGAAATCTTTGCACGAGTCCGACCTCCGAATGCCACTCGAGTTCATTCTGGTCTATTAAGTGTCTGCGGATCATCTCGGGGCGGACTGCGGCTGCATTGCCATGACAACCCCTGCAGCCTGGCCCGATCCCATGCCGGCCAAGACCGACATGGCCACCGCCTCTGCAGCCCGCACGCTCAGCCCGTTGATGGTGGCCCCCGGACTTGTTGCCGAGGGCGACGGCACGTGCTGAATGACTGCCGCTGGGGAGCCGATGGGTTCAGTGGAAGTATCCCTGGAGGTTTCCTCTCCTCCTGCAGCTACAGACAGAGAGAGCAACATTCACCCTTAGAGAGGTGAGCGAGTAAAAATAATGCATTAGATGGGATGAAGTGACAGATGAATCCTGGCACAAGTGACACAGTACAAGAAGTCTGATGGTCAGTTCATTATCTCAACTGGTTACCTAATAAAGCTGCCTTCTTCTGCATAATAGTGACAGGGCAGTCCTTGTGGGCCAGGAGAAGCTGCTTCAGCTGTGCCACCTCATTCCTCAGATGGGTTACTTCATTCTGACAGCAGCACAAAAAGAAATACAGTACATAAATCATTCCCATCATGCCCCGTTATTGCCATATCACCACAGAAACCCATTTATGACCGCCAGGGTGTTTACATGCTTGATGTTACGCCCTGGAGACGACTCACTGTGAGGGAGACGTTCATGTTGGCCAGATCTTCTGCTTTTTTCTCCAGAGAGTTCACCCACAGCTTCCGCTTTTGCCTGCAGCGGGAAGCAGCTGCCCGATTCCTTTCCAGAAAACGCTGCCTCCTCTCGTCAGGGTCCATCTCTGCTGCTCGCCGCCGCCTGCCCCCTGTTGGCTGAGCAGGGGACACCTGGAGAATGAGGAGGGGGTAAAAGTTGGCTACTTGTAAACCCAAATGTGATCAGTAAGTGGGGGAGAACAGAACAACTGCATCAGGAACTTCTGACATTTAACAGGGGTAAAAAATCAGGGGTAGCAGACAATTTGGTGCCCTTAACTGTCAAATTAAAGCATCCAAACCAAAACACACTCAATCCAATGCTCATGCTTGACTTAAACTGACTCGGCCTTTATTTTGCATATATGAGCACAAATGTTGGACAAGCCTGACATTCTGCTAAATTTTTCTCTTTGATGCCATCAATAATGTGAAAACTACAGCTGTTAGCATTGAGTCTCATTTAGCTTTTTGAGGGAACATTCAAAGGTTTTCCTTCATCACACACATTTAACAGTCTATAGTCCTAGGTGTGCTCTAGGACCACATAAC